TTTTTATCCTCCATGTATCCTTCATTACCTGTATAAACCCAGACAGAAAGTCCTCATTATTACTGTAAATGAAGTCTCACCATAACATGAAATGCCACCATAATGAAGCACTGATGTGTGACTGCTCACCTGCTCATTAGAAACAAGACCGGAGTGCATTTCTAGGGAATACCTGGGGGAAGAGAAAGCAGTGGCAGCTGCAAAGCTGCGTGGCTATCTGGTGGAGCAGGGATTGAACCAAAACCTGTCCCCCTGTCCCTAATGATCCCTGTGGACCCCTCTTCTCCTGTTCTCTCCTAGTGAAAACTGAAGCATTGTGTAGTAAAGCCACTCCCCCCCATTCCCCTCTCAAATGCTGGGCTCCTGCTCACTTTCTCCAGCACACCTGTATTTTCTTGGCTTTACTACTGGTTTATGCGGGCGATTCATCCACAAACACAGAGTTTCTAACTCTCCGACCCTTGAAAGACAAACATTCTAGTTCTCTTTGTTCTATATTCAAGGTCTAGGTTGTCAAAGAAACATGGGGAGTTCTATGGTTAAGCAGGTTGGAGCTCTGCACTGCCACGGCGTCATTACAACCATGATCTTGCTGTTTGCCCCCAAAATGAATGTGAAGGACCTCAAGAAGGGTCGTGTTGATGAAGGACCATTCAGAGTAACCATGCCAGAGATGTTTTTGCATAGTTGGTCAGCTCCTTTTACACAAAATTCCCAAGGAAGGGAAGGCTTGGCAATTATGGAAGACTTAAATTCCCCCTCCCCATAAGTACCTATCAAGACATATAACGTTTATCTAAAGCATAAGATGACTTCTGCCTTCTCCATGGCACACTCCTCATGGACAGTTGCAGTTTGTGTACTCTCTGAGGATAGCTGCATATTTATTCATGATCATGGGTGTGGTCAGTTTTACTGAATCTGGAAATTCCTTGTCTAATGTCTAACTCAGCCCACTGAGACTAAAGTATGATAGAAATGATACCAAATATTTGGTTGGTCGCCTTGTAACATGGCCTTGCTAGAAAATATAGGTCTGATTTTATTTATTCCTGTTGCTCTATCACTTTGAATCATCAGCCAGAGCTAATGGCTCCCATGACACTACATATTTACTTGAAAAACTAAAGAGAAAACCAATCAAAGAATGCAGAAGGAGAAGAAAAACCAATTATAACAAACAAGAAGGAGATAAATACAAAAATAATGCTGGTAATAATAATAAGAGGAGGTCATATAAAATATGCAAGTACCTTAAAGGCCCCATGATACAGAAAGTCTTGTGTTTTTAGGAACACATTACTCATCTAACAGCAGTAAAAATTGGAAAAGAGGTGAGGTCTTGATTCTGTTAGCAAGCTCTATTACCATGGTAATTGTTTTCCAAATGCTAAAGCCTAATAATAAGCACCCCATCTGAACAGTAATGATTTCACTTCTTCCAACACTGGGGAACTGCTGTTGTGTGGGGGTGCCTGTGCATCCTGCAGTGTGCACTTCGGAGGCTCTTCAGCAACAGCTCAGCCCTCTCAGGCACTGAGGAAATGCAAATCCCTGCTGTTTTCATGTGAGAGAAATTATGCCTTGACAGTGTTAGAGCACTAAAAATAGCACACACATTGTTCCTGGGAGTTGCTAATGTTTTTGTCCCTGAAACTACATTTTCAATACTGATAAAGTTTGCTATGTCTAGCCTGTGTAATTATATATATATATATATAAACCCAAGCCAGCCCAAAAGTTGTGTGTTCTTGATTACAGGTCATATTACAATAATCAATTATTCTGGACAAACACTTGTGCAACCTCCCACCCCACCTCAAGACAAGATGCCTCATTATTGCTTTCAGGTTAAGCGTACAAGCAGCAAGGGGAATCTGAGAACTGAGGAACAAAGAATAATCTCTGTTTGAGCTGGTTTGATCTTTCTGGTGAAAAGAAATCAATGCCACTTACAGCATTCCTCCTCAGGAATACTAGAAAGAATGCAACCATTCATTAATTTCCCTTTAGCTTTCCTCAAGAAGCAAGTCCTAAGACAGCCACACAATGGAAAGGGTGGTTTGGCTGTAGCAGTGGCCAAAAATTGTAATTCAATACTGACAGGCAGACAACAGATTCCGTGATTTTTTTCTGCAGTGAGCATTCCACTATGCAATCTGTGTTTTGATCAAGTTCAGGGAAGGTTAATACAAACTGTTTGTAACTTGTCATGCCAAAGCCAGAGTCACGGTGTGTATCTACCCACCCCCAGTCCACAAAGACCAGTGTGGTGATGGGTCCACTGTGCTGCTGCCCATTCAGTTTTAGATCACATAAATGATACACGACACCATCACATGCTGCCCATAGCTGGTTAACAGAACCCTACGACACAGCAAAAATTACAGTACTTTTGGTTAAGAGCTAGGCTTTGAAGATGAAAAATGCTGAGAGCATCACAGGCCCTAAAGGACTTGGAGAACTCTGTAATACAAGTAATGCCCTGAGGATTATGGGGACTGAATCCCTAAGGGGTTACAGGAATTTTGCTTGGATCTGTCACTGCCTTAACACTTGCTTCTGGTTTTCTCTAGGCTCAATTTGGTGTTATTAAAGACTACCATCTGCACAACTTTTACCTTAGGGCCTACAGTATAACTGCACTTGGGTTTATTTCCTACTTGGGGTCACAAATACTGCATTAAAGTAATTCCTCAAACACCATCTTCTAAACAAAGTGAAAGCACATTGGCTACCATGAGGAAACAGACACATCCAGCTCCTGGTTCCAGAGCAAGAATGAAAGACAGAATGAGTAGGAGGGAACAGCTCCTGCAGAGCCATGGCAGAGAAGTGCATCCCCACAAGAAGTGCCCTGCACAAGGCCCTGGTTTTCATCTCCACCTTCCTCCCTGTCCCTGCGAATTTTCTACTGGAGAAGTCAATCTGTGAGCTTAAGTGAAACTATTCTTTCTATTCTATACATCACACAAGACCAAGCTTCTAAATTTCTACCATCTGACATATAATCCAATAATGACATCTACTCAACGAGAGATCAAAAACATCTTCTCCACAAGTCTTCCCTCATTCCCTCAACTGCTACTCAAAATTCTACTGTTCTACCTGTCACACCAAGCTGGAACCTGGGCACCATCTCAGCAACTTACATATAAAATTTAATTATATCCCCTGATCTGTTGCAAAAGTCGGCCTGTCAGAGTATGACAACACTCAATTTCTTTATTTTCTCTCTCATTTAAAATATGAGCTGCTTGTCCTCACTTAGAGGCCCTGTTTTGCCCCCAGACTTTTACTGCTGAAATTCTTACTCCTGGCTCTGGCCAGGTATTCCAGGCTCACACACACTTTGTTTCCAAACAAATACCCTTTTGTTGCTCACACGTGGGAAGTTTCCAAGAAAACCAGAAAACTTTTTTTATCTTACTAATCCCCTTCCTAGATTCCCTATTCCCACAGCACTTCCTCTGCTGGTGCACAAGTTGCTGTTACACTAAGGCTACCAAGTTTAACTATCTTGCATCCCTATACCCTGTCATTAACAACTACAATACCAACCCACAGTCACACAGCTGGGTCAGCCTGTGGTGCAGGCTGCAGCTTTGCTCCCAATACAGTCCTAGTTTAAAAATGAGTACCTTTAAAACACCCAACACAAACATCCAACACAAACACAATGCTTTCAAAAATTTACTGTGCTGAGAAAATTTCTCTTTTAGGAGAAAAAAAAACAGAACAACAGGTTTGAGCAACTTCCTCCTTAAAAGTGTAACAAAAAAAGCTCAGGAATAATGTCAAAAGCTGGATTTTCTTAGATTGACTTGGAAACTGCTGGCAAAGAACACGGACTATTAGGGGATGGTTGACCTGCATCTCAGTCAGAAATTTTGCAGACAGAAAGGTATTGTAGAAGCTTTCTTACTTTGTCATCAAAGCTAATAATCAAAGACATTTACTGTCCCTAAAATAATTTTGAGCTCAGTAGAGACTGACAAACAGGATTACTCAAAATCATGTGGCAATCCACAGCATCTGCAGATACACAGTAAGCTGAACCTGAGACTGATTCATATGTGCTACTTTCCTCAGACCTGCATTTAAACTGATGTTGCTGGATTTGAAGTTCACATTTCTGAGCTATGCTTTTGTTCCTGCTAAAATTTCTGCTTATTAGCTAAAATACGAGTAATTAACTCTCTTTCCTCCCATAGCTCACAGCTCTTCACTGCCACAGGAAACAAAAATGCAATGCTGAAAAGGACTGGACTGACTGGCTCCAGAACTGCACCTTTGTAAATGCAAGGAAGCATGAGTTGGAGCATCTAAAATACCCTCTCCTCTTGTACATGAACACATCAAACAAACTAAGATGGGTATGTGCTAATGTTTCAGCCAGAAATGCTTTTCATTTGTGGATCATTACCAAGCATAATACCATTATCCCCATATTACTGATGGGATAACTGAAACCCAGAGGTGATGCTGTAACTCACTGTGTAAGACCATTAAATAAGCCTGTTTCTTTGCAGCTCTGTGTTTACAAGCAGCAGAATCTGAAATATAGGATGTGGGGTGCCACATCAGCACTCAACACACCCAAATGGCTCATAAAATTACAATTGATGAGAGTTTTAACTGAAACGTGATGGTGTCATTTTGGCAAACAATTCCATTAGGAAGGTACTTCAATCTTTCAGGGATTCCAAAGGACTAAACGTTTTTTTATGTGTGTTGGGCATCCTTGTACTTCATAAATCTGTGATCCAAGATTTAACTGTGTAATAGCACATGGCAAAGCAATTATAGCTGTTATAAAGTGTACATTTAACTGAACAAGCTGTTGTCAGAAAATGGTAGTAGCTTCATGCCAGTGAAAAAAGCAGGAAAGCAGACTTGCTGTTACCATGCTGTGCTGTTTCATCAGGACACCTGCAAGGGTGGCCAAGGATTTAGTAAAAAGTAGAAGGTGGTACCAACTGACAAGTTGTTCCTCTTACCTTAACTATCACTGTGACAGTAGCCAGACCAGGAGGCATAGTGCCCTTGCTGTCGAAGGCTTCCACAAGAAAGGTGAAGGTTGCTTCAGTCTCAGAGAATGACTCATAATCCAAGGACTTGAGAAGTGACAACTCGCCCGTGTGCTTGTTCAGTGCAAAATACTCCCGTGCTTCCTGGGTCCGTATCCGATAGTTAACGTCAGCGCCAAGATCCACATCTTTTGCCTACAGCATCCACAGCCAGATAAACAATGTACTTAAAAACAAACCAAATCCATTTTTCACACACACAAAAAATCCCTACTAGATTTAAAGAACATAAAAAAGCAAGCTACTGCAAACAACTTTAGCTTGGTATCGTTGTTCTCATAGGATTGGATGTACTTAATACTTCAGCACAAACACGAGGAGGACAAGTCCACTTCAGGTTATAAAATCCAGAGATATCCACCGTGAGAAACATGCCCAATACTCTGGGCAAGAGTCACTGGAATCTCAGTCTGTTCTTGTTCTCTTCCCCAGGCACCTGCCTGCTAAGGGCCACTGCCAGGGAGAGGAGGCTAGGCTAAGCAGACGTTTGATCTCACCCTCCTATGGCAGCATTTTATTTCATACCAGTATTTAAACAAAGAATATTCAATTTCATCTGTATAAGAAGTAATATGTGACTGCTTTAGAGGTAATTCAGCATTAGATTTATCTGCAGTCAAGTTCAGGGAAAAGTATTGCTACTGAAATTGTCTCAGGACAGATTCTTCTCATTAAAGGATATTGACCAAAACATCAGGATATATAAACTTCTTGTGGGGAGAGACTCTCTGCTGTTTTTAGACATCTTGCTCATCCCTGAACAATTAACTCTCACTTGTCTGAGTCATCTTGTCATCTTATAGTCAGTGAAGAGAAGGCAACACCTCCAGGTCATTACTTTAAGAATGGTTTGGGTTGGAAGGTACTTTAAAGACCAACCAGTTCCAACCCCCCTACATGGGCAGGGACACCTCCCACTAGATCAGGTTGCTCCAAACCCCATCCCACCTGGCCTTGAATATCCCCAGGGATGGGACTTCCACAACTTCCCTGGGCAACCTGGGCCACTGTCTCACCACCCTCACACTAAAGAATTTCCTCCTAATTTCCACCTAAATCTCCCCTCTTCCAGTTTTGATCCATGGCCCCATGTCCTCTCACTACAAGCCCTTGCAAGAAGTCCCTCCCCAGCTTTCCTGTAGGCCTCCTTCACTTCACTCCAGCTATCTTAGATAATGATCTTGGTATCAGATTAATTGCTCCTGGAAGCAACTATTTATCTCCACCAACTATACTGTGAGGTTAAACAGTTAGGTTTGACTTAAACACCTACATCAGTTGAGACAAGGCACCCTCCTGCTGCCAGTGTAAACAGGCAGAAGCATATGAGCTTTCAAAACCAAATCAAACCCACTTCAAACCTGTAGAACAATATTCCAGAAAATGATAAGAGTGTAGGTTTTGTTGCTTCTTTGTTTTTTTAATAATTGTATTTCCAAATGTACCTCAGCTTCCAAGTATTTTTATCTACCTAAAGGTCATGCATTTTTCAGTGGGAAGTATCACAACTTCCTCCACTCCAGCTTGCAATCCTTCACTGCAATCTCACTGACAAGTTGAGTACTGCAGAACATTTACCAGGCATCACTCCATAATGCCTCCTTACCTCTATTTGCAGGAAGACAGTGCCCAGTGGTAGGTCTTCTGGCACGGTGACAGTGTAGGAAGCGTTAGTAAAAACAGGGCTGTTGTCATCAATATCCAGCACCTTGATGGCTAAAGTCAGTGTTGAACGGCGGGGGTCCACAGCTCCATCTGTTGCTTCAACAATCAGCTCATAATAGTCCCTCACTTCTCTGTTCAGCTTCACTGCTGTATAAATGCTACCGTTGGACGTGATTCGGAACAGGTTGTTGAAGTTTGCCAGACTGTAATGAACTTGGCCATTGACACCAGCATCTGCATCCGTAGCCTAGAGAAAGGAACAAGAACCATGTCTTAATGCACATTTCAAGGACAAGGGCCAAAGCCACGTGGGAGTAACAGGGTAAGCCAGGGTAATACTCTACAGGGTACTCATGCTTGTGCGGCTACTCAGCATTTCTGCAGCTTGCTTCTCTCTGATATTCTTCTGAAGATAAAATAACTCATAGCAACAACCCTCCTGTTTTGCAGAGACAGAAGCTAAGGCTCACTGGATCCCAACTGGACTTCAGGAGAAAATACACATTCAGTTGCCTGGGAAACTGGGCAAATCAGCAGAAAACAAACCGGATGCTTTTAAAGTCAAGCCCTCAGATCCTTGTAGTGCTGAAGTATCTTCAGCATTAGGTGGTGTCGGAGGGGAACTTTGGATTTGCACTCTAGATTGATGGTGTTTCCTTGCTGCTCAAACCATGATGGAGTACATGCTGAGATGAAAGGGGTGCAGTCAGCAGAATGGACACATTAGACATTTTCATTTCACTTCAACATTTTTGTCACATTTAGTGGCATTTTAATTGTTGCTCTCTGAATAACCACTGGTCTTTCTTGAGTTTACCCTGCTCTTCAAAACCAAAGGTGATCATATTTCATTCTTATTCTTCTAGACTCAGAAGAGGAAGATAACAATAGAAAACTGTTCAGATTTTGCTCAGTTGGTATCTTTGTTTTCACATACTGAACTAAGTCTCAAATTTCAGTACCAGCAAAGTAATTCCTGCTATTATGTAACTGCCTTGTAGGGATGGATAACATCCCTACATTTTTCCAAGAGCTACCAAGCCCTCCATGTAGTCAGAATAATGAACTATTATTTTTCTTCTTCTTAATTAAATTATGGCATCATAAATAACATTATGTAAATGAAACAAAGGGCAAGCTATTCTTGTTTATTTGACTTTATAAATAAGGCTACAGACATCTGGGAAGATCACAAGAGATTTTCATGTTTTGTTATCAGAACAATTGTCAGGAAGTTGCCATGAACGTTTCCTTCTGGTGGAGGAATTCATTGTAAGACAGTAATGAAACAATTTATCTTCCCAGAAATCAATTAAAAGTTAATTAAAATTGTTAATAAGAAAAATCTCACTGTGCTTTCTTCCTGCACTACATTGATGTGCTAAACAGCAATGGCTCCAACTTCCTAAAGACCAGTTTGGGTAACACATATTTTAATCAACATCTTTCAACATATGGTTGATTTGCTTAGTTCACAACCACTTAGTCCACTATTTCCTCTGTAAAACATAAACGATTTGGGGCAAAAAGACCTCCTAGAAGACATGCTGGAAAACCATCAGAAAGCTACTTAAGGAGGGAAGTTTAAAGCATTCAGAAACAGACAGCCCCAGTGGAAAAGCAAAGTAAGTTGCAGAGCTTCTGGATAAGACACTAGCCACACAATTCACCCTCTTAAGACTTAATCTCCCACACATGTGCAAGGTCAGACCTCAGACTTGGTCTCCAATTTCAGCCAAAATCACATTACATTGATACTAAACAGCTGGACTTAAAAGCCAAACAAAACCCCACAAAAAATCTCTAAGAGTAATCTGAAATACCACTCCCATGGGAAATTAGGAGAAAAAAAACAAGTACCATTTTTATTTAAGACTAATTTGGAAGTATGTTTTTGAACAGAAAAGCTTGTTTTTTTCTTGTAAAGTAAGTTACAACTACTCGCAAACTTTGCACTTTGGTTCCTAAGAACACGACTTCGTATGTTGCAAACTCATTTGTGTACATCCTTGGGCACAAACATCTTTTCCACATGCTGCAGGACCGCGTTGTTTACATGCAGAGTAGCAGGCAAATCATCATTATTAAATCCAATTAAACTAACTGTTATAGCACTGCCATAACACTATTGAGAAGTCAACCAAAGACACACCAACATTAGCTCTATGCATTTTTGCATATCTTAGTCCTCTGCTTCCACAGCATGAGGCAAATTCAGACTTCAGAGGGATGCTCTGACTGAACCCTCAAAAAGAAGTTTGTAGCACATTGATCACAAAAATTTCTACCAAATGATAAAAAATCTGATTATCTATTAGACTGAAAAAATAACAACCACACAAAAAAAAAACCCAGCTTTTCTCCAAGCTTCCTGCTCTATCTGGGACATTACTCCAGGGACAACTAGGGCCAGTTTACAAAGCCACCATCCTATTGCTAAGGCAGCCCTTTGTGTTACCCATCTTTGATAAACACCACACAAAAATCACTGAGAAGTTACAAGTTGTTCAAGTACTGTCCCACCTACCTACAACAGGCAGCTTTGCAGCCCCAAGAGTCTTGGAAAAGCCAGAACATTAAATGAGGTGGCTGCCAAGCCCACACCAGGAGCTGCCTTCTCCCACCCAGACTCCCCTGCCACACAACAGAGGGGCTTTCACACCCCTCTCCCTGCCATCACACCTTGTTGTGTCCATGGGGGCTGCAGAGGTCTGCTCCAGCTCCTGGAGATCCTCTTCCTCCTCGAAGGGCTGCTCCTCACTCCTGGCAGGAGTTGTGTCCTTTGTTCCTCTGCCCCCCCCTCTGATTGTGGCTGCAGGCTCAAGCTGTGCCTGCCTTCTCCCCACAGAGCCAGCCCACACACACCTGTAACTGTTTAAAAATCAAAGGGCCTGCTTTCTAAAGAATCAAAATGGATTTTCTCATGAAAAAAGCTTTAACAAAATGCTATTGATTTACCAACTTACATTGCATTTACAGTGTAAGGTCACCACTAATCAACATTTTATCACTATAAACTGGAGAAGAGATAATGTACTCTTTACAGATATGAAGGAAAAAGAGGTCAGTCTGCTTTCTAAAAGAATCCTGTCTCAAGGCTATACAGAATTAACTCTTTCCACATGAAAATAATTCCATGCCTGCTCCAAAAACCAGTCCCACTTGAACTTACCACTACTCTTAAAGCAGAAGCCAGAAATATCCCCCCCCAATTAATATTATTTGTTCATTAACAATGCTGAGCTGAACTATCTGGCTATAGTGTTATCAGAGGTGGAGAGAATCACGGAATTACTTAGGTTGGAAAGGTCCTTCAAGACCATAAAATCAAATCATTAGCCTAGCACACTGCCAAGGCCACCACTAATCCCTGGCCCTCAGCACCACATCTACACAGCTTTTAAATCCTCCAGGGATGGGGACTCCACCACTCCCCTGGGCAGCCTGGAACAGGGACTGACAATCCTTTCCAGAAAGTAAGTTTTCCTAATATCTGATCTAAACCTCCCCTGGCACAACTTCAGGCCATTTCCACTTGTTCTATCACTTGTTCCTTGGGAGAACAGAGCAACCCCCCTGGCTCCAACCTCCTCTCAGGCAGCTGCAGAGCCAGCAGGTCTCCCCTCAGCTCCTTGTCTCCAGGCTGGAAACCCCCAGCTCCCTCAGCTGCTCCTGCTCACACTTGTTCTCCAGCCCCTTCCCCAGCTCCACTGCCCTTCTCTGGACACGCTCCAGCCCCTCCATGTCCTTCTTGTCCTGAAGGGCCCAGAACTGACCCCAGGATTCCAGCTGCCCCCTCCCCAGTGCCCAGCTTAGGGGGAGGATCACTGCCCTGGTCCTGCTGGCCACACTAGCACTGATATAAGCCAGGATGCTGGTGGCCTTCTTGCCCACCAGGGCACATGCTGCCCGAGGTCCTTTTCCTCCACCCACTCTTCCCCAAGTCTGTACCATTTGCCTGGGGTTGTTCTGACATAAGCCCAGGACCTGGCACTGAGCCTTATTGGTGCTCATACAGAAACCAGGTCCCCTGTCTGTTTTCAGCTGTAACAATGAGATACAAAGCACAAATATTATCTTTTGATACAATAACATTCTTAGTAATTTCTTCTATTAGGTAAAGACCACTTGGAGTAAAAAAGATCAAGGCAAACACTGAGCACAAAATTGGACAGATTTCTTTCTATTCCCCATAACACAGCCTCTGTCTTACCCTAGCTTCAAATCCCTGTGCAATCTGTCTTGCCTGTATGTGCAGAACACATTTCCCCCCCATGAGAAGCCAAAGCTGTCAAAGTTGAGGGCAGCACGAGTGATAATCCACATTTCCAAAGATAATCACTCGCTCCTCCCTCACCACACTCAAGTGTCAAGATCAGACAACTGAAGAACAAACCTACTCATTTCTGCCTTGTTTTCCTGCTAGAAGATTTTATCACATCCACTCCTAACCCAAGACACCTCCTTCCCCTCATTGGAGGGAAGGCAACTATGAGTCCAAGTGCTGCAGAGGCAGAACTGGGTAACAAGTGGGCAATGGGGCCTGAGGTGCTCTCCCTCTTTACACAAGCACTCCTGTAACATCTGAGGTCCCACCAAAGCTGCCAACACATTCTGGTGTTAGACCACTTGCAATCACATGCAACACAGAGTTGGTAAATTGGGTAGGAAACAGGCTGATTTTGCTACTTTGGGTAAAAGAAAAAATGGGGAATTGTCCCTCTAAGTGCTCAGAGGGTTTGCACTGTTCTTATCCAAACTGGTCCAAGCAGCCTGTAGGCAAATTTCCCACACCAGTGTTACCCAGCTGAGGAGCTCATAAATTCACTGAAGCCAATGTGGCCTGGCAAAAAGGAATTTTGTCAGGATAGAGGAGCCTGCTTTACATAAGTCTAAAGTAATTTTTTTTCTTCAAACTGAGACCATCCTCAGGAATACATATAAAAGAGAAACCTGCTGGCTGGCTCCTCTTGTCAACGCTGCAAGAGGTGCAGAGAGATGAGATGCACACTTCTACCTCTCCCATCTCTACTATGTTTATTCAGAATTAGGAAACACATGTTCCTCTGAAGAGACTCTGGTATTGCTGTTATTCTAGGAACTCCTCAGATCCACACGTCTCCTCTCATTTCCATCTCTCACTGGGCTAACTTATAAAGTACTGCATGATAAAACAAATCTGGAAACTTAGGAACAGAAATAAATCATTGCTTTATTTCCCAGAAAATACATCCCACATTTACTGGA